ATAGTAGTGTCAATGTGTTTGTGATATCAACACATTAGACTGGTCATGCTTCAACTTACTTTAATAGTCAGCAATACAGTGGTAGTAATAAAAGTATTTGGTAATTTGGAAAGGTTGGCCCATACAGACGAAACCTGAGTTTTTGCTGTTTAATACACAAAAAAGGAAACATCTCAATTTATTACCTTTTTCCTTAATATCATAAATTTTGATCCCGATGGGAAGAGTTCCAGAAATTGACACATTGAAATGTAAAAACCCCAGTTTTTAAATGTGAGATGAACGCTTTTAGTTTGTATTATTTCTTTGTTCCACGGCAGTCTTTGTCACGAGAATGGTTTCATGTTGTACCATTTCCTGCGCTCCTTACAACCTTTGTCACATGAATAAGATATCAGAACGCTAATGACTAATATACAGTATTCTGTGTCTGCTGATACTATACTGTACTACCCTGACCTTTGCAATATTATGTATTCTGATTGGCTGTCCATTTCACCTCTTCCCCACAAGTTAATAAGGCTGTAAAAAGGAGAGAACTTGAAATGGCCAGCCAGTCAAATTACAGAATATTGAAAAGGTCAGAGCAGTACAGCACACAGAAAAAAATTATGGAATATATGAGGCATTAAAATTCTTGTGACAATGATTATAACAAGAATGGAAAAGGATACCCATTTATGTTATTTCAATCTAGTGAACCCCATAGGATGACGGACCCAGGATAGCAGTAATTTACGCACCACCAACCCACAGGAGCTTTATTCACCCATTTACAGTAGTACTCAGTAACAGGAATGCACATCTGCCTGGGAGGCCCCTTCAAAGTGTCCACCCAAAACCACAGTGAACTTTCAAAGACAACTGCTCTAGAGTGCTGTGTGAAGCCTAGCACTTTTAAATGACGATTTTGAATGGAATATGTATTTGTGTATCTTTTTAATGTAAGCGTGTTTTATTACTTGACTTTGTTTCAAGTGTATATACTGTTACAGTATGTATATGAATATTCTTTAGCCCTAATTTCTTAATTTTGGTAAAGTTTTCCTAAAAAACTAGATACTTTGATCTGGTATAAACTGGGAATAAACTCAGAACAGCACAACTTTTTCTCAAATACCAGACTTGGCCAAAGAATTCCCTCAGAAATACTAGGGGACATATGGAGAACCTTATGAGCAGGAAGGCTAGTAAAAGAACAAAACCATCACAAAGTAAAAATATGGAGAGATTAAGGGAGCACAGGGAAGCCCTTCATCTCTTTTTTGTTTTTTGAGAGACTATAGGAGATGGCAGCTCTGAGCCCCCTTCCATCTGAATCAGTTTTTCACTATGCGTGTTTGCATGTCTAAGTATTGAAGGACGTGGTGTTTGAGGAGTTTTTCTGCCTGCTTGGTTAGGTTGTTCGTGTTAGCTATGTCTTGAGGGGTTCGTTCTTGTTGGAGCACTGGTGACTGTTCACGCTAAAGTTACGAAGCAGAAATGTACAGTAACGAGGAGGTATTCTGGTAAAAACCACCTGTCTGAAATAAAACAACATCTCTTAGGACTTTACCAGTGTCTGGGGCAGCTGCTGCTTAGGGCTGCAGCAGACTTGCTGGTAGGCTACAGTAGGACCTGGGCAGGATGGAGAGAAAAACACACATGAAAAATGGAAAAATAGAGGCCCCATCCATTTATGCTCGCAAATAGGGTCCACACTGAAGCAGTCCAGGTAGGAATGGCACAGAGCGATATGACAGGGTTATCGCTGTATCGCTTTCTGTCAGGTTGAACCTATGTGTCTGCATTTTCCAGCCCACTGAGAGCAAAGCTTAAGCAGTGAGAAGTGGCAAAGCTGCATATTGCAACTCATTCCCAGCAAGACCTGCATTTTAAAAATGTTCTTCTAATACTTTGCTTGCCAGTAGCAGTAAGTTGTTTGGCTGGCAATCGGGATAAAACACCTTTTGTCTGTGTAAAATTCAGCTTAGGAAACTTGCAAGTGCACCTCAGCTTTTCATTAGGAGCAATGAAGAATTTTGAATTGCTATGTTGTCTAACTCATTGTAAATTTGCAAGTTCATTTTTGAGCTGAATAAAATGGTTATGTAATTACATACTTCTCCTAATTATTGTGTAATTATATACTTCTTATAATTGCCGAGTAATCACACTGCTATAACTAGAATTTAATGTTACAACTAATTGTATAATTACTGTATATTAATGTTGTTATCCGGGCAACTTGGAATAGTGTTATCCTTTTAATTCTTCTTCTGTTACTTGAAACTGCATTTTAAAAAATACAGTATAGTTAGCCATTGGAAGAAAGATTAATAGTGGAATAAAAATATCAGCAGAGGAAGAACATGCTTTTATTCTGGACTCAGGTGAGTGAGAATTAAAATATTAACATGTTAAAACTCTACTGTGGATAGAAAAAGTTGAATTTTTTCATGAATTGGGCATATAAACTGCTGATAGGAGCCTACTTTTATGCCTGAGGTTTGAATCTATCCTCTGTGCCTTGATCTGTTGACACTGGATTTTTAAACTTTCCTACTATTTTAAGAGAAACAATTCAAAACCACATCTCTGTTCACAGCCAGCAGAGTCCTTAAGTATTCCTCATTGCAGCTTTCCAGTATCTGAAGGGGGCCTACAAGGGTACTGGGAGAGGACTTTTTACAAGAGCCTGTAGTGATAGGACAAGGGGTAATGGGTATAAATTGAAATCAGGGAGGTTTAGATTAGATATCAGGAAGAAAGTCTTCACAGAGAGGGTGGTGAGGCACTGGCACAGGTTGCCCAGAGATGTTGTGGATGCCCCATCCCTGGCTGTCTTCAAGGCCAGGCTGGATGTGGCTTTGAGCAACCTGGTCTAGTGGAAGGGGTCCCTGCCCATGGCAGGGGGGGTGGAACTAGATGATCTTTAAGGTCCCTTCCAACCCAAACCATTCTGTGATTCTATGATTCTATCACTAAGACCTTAAGAAGACTGTCAGTTGGTCATTTCTAATGGTCATTTATTGTGGTTAATCAAACCGCATATAATAATCTCATATTGTTGGGTGGGTGTCTCAAATAGTAAGCTGCAAGGTCCCCAGTGGTGCACAGAAAAACTTTGATGGATAATGGGGGAGATTTGCCGTGTTGGGTTGTATGTACTCCCAAATCACAAACAGGGACGTTTTCACAAAGATGCAGGAGGAGAGTTTGATATACAATTTAAGAGCTGAGATCAAGTAATGCAGATGCATTTTTCTAGTGCTGGCTAAGTAGCCTGGGTACAGAAGAGTAATTTTAGACAAATTTTAGACAAAATAACTTTAATTCTGCAGAATTGGTATGTCTGTATGTGCCGTGTGTAAAATGTGTTGGTTGTTCTGGCATGATGAGAATCTTTGCCTGCATTGCTGGGGTCTCTCAGACTAATGTAAAATGCAGTGAACTTCAAAATAAATCCATCAGGTTTCATGAAATTGTCCTACATTTACACTACTGTAGTTTGCTTGGGCAGTCTAGTGCTATGGCAAGGTTTAATCCAGGTAGAATTTGAGCAGTGAGGAACTAGATTAGAAGGGAGATTTATAAAGAGTTTTATAAAACTCTCCATCTTCTTAAAAATTCAGAAAGTAAGTTTGCTATATGTTACCGGCAGAGTGACTGAAAAAACTCTGTGCAGCTCTGTGAATGTCAAAATAAGGGAATTACTTAGATTTGTACCATAAGTGAATGGCAGATTATTTGTAGGAAACCCCAAGTTAGAGCAAAGTCCAAATCACTCACAGTAAAGTGTAATGAAAGCATGACTGAAATGTGTAGCATATGCACGCTAGTGCACATCACAGAAATGTGGGATAGTTGAAAAACTGTTTCAGGTTTAATAAAACTTCAGTTTCAACAGTTCACTTGAAGCTTGCATAAAAATGAGCAAACCCAATAAGTTTCACTTAAAAATTAATTACAAGAGAGTGTCTAAGGGTTTTAATTTTATCATAGTTAGATTTTTGTAAAGGGTTCAGATGTCAGTATTCAACTTCCGGCTGTGACAATGCCTTAATTAATTTAAGATTTGTTAATTGTTATATTGTTTAAACTCAATCTCATACCTCTGGTCTCCGACTAGTGTGATTCTGCTGTTGTTTGTAATGCAGAACTTCCACATGCTTAAATGTGAGAGCTCTCCATGTGGTGATGGATAGCAGTAATAATATTAATTTATATAGCACTTTATATGTCCAAAATATTGGATAATCTTTAAATGAACTCAGTTTTGTTCTCAGATATGTAAGTGAAATCTTTATTGAGTCAAAAAAAAGATTGTTACTTGACATACTTTTTTTTTTATTCTCCAGACTTCCTTATCAGGTATTTTAAAAAGGTTTATTTTGTTATTTGTGTACGGTAGAATATTGACCTATCTTTAAGTTTGAGATCTTAAATAGGTTGTAAAGGACATGTAGATGGCTATGGTGTCTTCTGATGGTTGCAAGTGATAAACTGATACTTCAAATCCTTGTATTATCTTTGAGAGGACTGCAGGCCATACTGAACAGCATGTCTTTCTTACTGCATATGACTAATGCTTATAAACTCCTAAAGTAAGTGTGTTTCCAGTGAATGCAAGAAGTTTTACCATATTTCATAGGCATAAGAATTAACCTTAGTGTTTCAAGTTAGCAGCGACCATATAACTGTTTTGGCACATGAGTAATTTCTGAAAACTGGCTTCTGTTTGCATTATATAGCAGTCAGCTTTGCACCTGCATGGTTGGTTCATTTATTTTTCAAGTTTTACAAGTAGCACAAACTGTTGGCAAAATGAGGAGAAAATGGTGAATAATATTTTTTCTTCCAAATAGGCCATTTTTTGGTGTTATAGGTATCAATGTCAACTTTTCATTTAGGCAGAAGTAATACTTGATTCATAAAGAGAGCGAATATTAGCACATGCAAGGCATAATATTTGTTCTTCTCCTCCCCACCCCACCCTTTTTTTTTTTTTTCCATAACAGCTAATGCTGATTATTCTATTGTAAATGGTACTCGGATGTTATGCAGCAGCAACGAATCCAATGTATGGGTACCCATTAAAGGACTGATTCCATTTTCTAACTACGCAGTACAAGTGAATGCTTCCAACAGCCAAGGCAGCTTGATAAGTGATGCTATAACAATAGTCATGCCTCCAGGAGGTAAGTATGCAAAAGTGCTTTTTCTATGCATGTAACAATTACACAAATATTCTGTTGAACGAAACATTATTTATTATTCTAACTGAAGACTGGAAGTTCAGAAGAATATGTTTGCATTAGTAGTTCTTACTAACAAATTTGTTCTTTTCAGCTTCTAGTTTGCCATGTTGCTCAATTTAAGAACTAGAGAATGAAAACAGGTAGCTGTGTGGATAACACATTATGTAGATGAGACGTGTGTTATATACTTCATTTTTTTTGTTTTCTGTGAATGATGTATTCTATCACGGATGGCTAATCTACTCTAAGAATATAGAGTCACCTGAATTTTGTAATCTGTTTTAGAATAGAAAGAGCACTTTGTGGGTAGACTTAGATAATTTATTTAATAATAGTAACCATTGGTAATATATTGAGCCAGAATCCACAAACTAATGTAGTTGTAAGAAAGTCAATTGACATGTGCTTATTTACAGTGAATGAGGCTCTAAGACACTTTGGATGTTGCCTTCCTAAAAAACTGAAATAAGAGAATTGAGCGAATACTCCCTAAACACTGTGTATGGGGTTTATGTGGGGGTTGGGTTTTTTGTTTGTTTGTTTTTTTAAATGAAAGCTTAAAATTACAACTTATGGATATGTGTTCCTTTTTCATACTCTTTCCGTGGACATCCTAGTGAATTAGCTTCTGTTGAATAAATGCAAGTGGAAACAATGAATTTAGGGCAATTTTGAATTCTAAAATGAGAGCCCAAAAACACTTGATCCTGAGAGATGTGTAGTAGTAGGTGATGAGCAGAAATAGTGTAGTGTGACACATATATAATTTGAAATTAAAAGAATATACAGAATGAAAATGAAACAAACAAAATTCCCAGAAAAGTTAGAGCTCAAAAGTACAATTACAGTTGGAACAGCTCACTTGCAAGCAGTTGGATTGGTTTTGGGGCCAAACCAACAGAAAGGCTTTTGGAAAGTGAATAAATGAAATGCAGAGTTTGTATGACAGATTACTGAGCAAGAAGGAAAAGGTAAATTCCCAGCATATTTTATACTTTTGCAACCCGATTGCCAAATTATACATAATATCAACAAGTTTACTTTGTCATATAATAGTAATATAATACTAATAAAATATAATAAGATAATAAATAATAATAATCATAAAACTGCATCTGAGTTTCACTGCTCACTTAAGACTGAGCAGCAAGATACTGGCATTTCTAATCCCAGTGTCACACTTCGATTTTGCATGTTGAAATAATAAAATTTGGTAGTGAAAATTTTACCAAATAAAGAAGGTAAAGGATCTTTAAAGATGGGTAAGGATGTGCACAAGTTTATGACAGCCATTAAGATACACTTTCTTTCATCATTAGATTGTTGTTGATTACAATTAGAAAACTTACAGCTTTGAAATTATCTTTTTTATGACCTTGTGGTAGTTTAAAAGCAATACCTCATTGATTAAATAGGTTTTAGTTCATGCTTCCTTTTAGTTAATGATCTGAAAACATATTATCCTGATTTACACATAAAATCATGCTGAAAAGCATGTGGCATTCACTAGGATATGTGTGTTTAAGTAGAATTAAATTAGCAGTGAGAGTTATTAAAGAAATCTTCCATACTATTGTCCAGTGGACTGTGATCTGTAGTGAAATGAATAATAAATGAAGCAGTGCATATGAGAGAAGTATCCTCACACACACTATATTCTCACTTTATGTGTACATACATATGTACAGACACACACGTATATCTAGGACAACCTATGATTACTTTACTATGATGCTTATTATAATGACTCTCTGAATGCCACGCAGTTCCTTTGCATGCTAAATTATGAGCATAATAGTATTTTCACACTGAGATGAATTCAGTGCTTTACATTCTAAATCATTAAATGAAATCAAGATTCTATTAAAATCAGAAGGAACTTTATTTTTCACTTCAGTCACCAAGATTTCACCTTGCCAAAGTTTTGTGTGATAAAAGAGTTAAAGAGGTCTATTATATACAAAATCACAGCCTTTTAATGAGTTCAAATGTAGCATTCTCTTTTCAAGGATAACAAAAAAAGCTGTTTCAAAAATTTGCATTGTGGGGAGTACTTCATGAAGCTTGATGGAAGATTGTATAAGAGAGAGAGAGTGATAAAGGTGAAGAGAATTCCATTTTGAAATAACTACAGATCACTCTTTTTCAATTATGACACAAATTTTCTTCCAACATACATTTTATTTGTTTCATTTTAAATGTATAACACATAACATAACACACCAAATCTTTAGTGTTACCTGATTGAATGTATCTTAATTTCTCATCAAGCTGATGTGCCATGCTTAAAGCCAATGCTTAAAAAATAATAATCTTATAAATAAAGAATATATTTTATCTAAGCTCTTGACTAAAATTGCAGTGCAGGTTCAAGAGTTCTTGAAAAGATTAAAAAAAATAAAAACTGAATCCAAATGTTAATCCATAAATATGAAACTTTCTTTTGACCCTTACCCTGTAGTGGTCTGGAGTTACTAATGGGGTTAGGATTTCAACTCTTAATGGGACGTGGTGCATTAGTGTTTTGTATGCATGGAATTCAGCATTCAGTTTAATAAGTGGTTGACATTGGTGATGTCCCTTAATTTGCTTAAATCTAATTGGCTCTTTTATCAGTCAAACCTGTATGGATTGGCAATTGATCAGAAAGGGTCAGCCATGACTGTGCATGTACTTAAATGCTGGAACCACCAGTTAAAGTCACTGTTGCATAATAAGAAGCTGAAACCATGAGAACAAATGATCTTCAGAGTCGTAAGGCAAAAGAAAGCGGAGAAGTTTTTCAGGATGTTCAAGTTCAGAACAAAGGCATTATGGAGTATATAAATTTTAAATACACTGCTTTTTGCCTCAAGACTTAAAGCTTTTTTTTTTTTCCAGAAACTGTCTTTGTTACATCAAAGAACTGCATAGAAAGCTAAAAGAGATGGAAGAATCATAAAAGGGCATAGTTTAAAATGATTAGTGACAAATTTCATACCGCAGAGGTAGAAGTAAATTTTTTTGAGTTTTATATATTTTTTTCCAAAAAAGAATAAATTTGTTCTATTTATCTTGTCCTAAACTGCTTTGGTAGAAGTTATAAAAAAATAATATACTAGTCAGTGCTTCACATTAATTTGAGGATGCCAGCCAGTAAAAGATCTGGAGAACAAATTGTTTTAGAATTAATTTAATTAGGTACATGAATTGAGATGAAACAGAGGATGTAAAACTGAAAAAAATCTGGGAGAAAATCTTCTGTACGGATTCATTGGTTATATATTTTTCTTCTTAATGAGCGCTGTTTCTGATGTAGAGGCACATAGAGGACCCTATTAATTTAGGACACCTTTGAAATAAGAGATGGTAAGCTAACACAAAAGAAGGTTGCATTCACTACTGGTAATAGCTCTGGTTAAATCCATTTGTTCCTTGCCTTTGACCACAGAAGCCCTATCATGAAAGGGAATGACAAGTCCTGTATGCAGAAAGGAAGAAGATAGATTATGTTGACAAAAATAGGTGCAAAGACAGATAGCAGGGAGAGACAGGCAGCTTATGGGGTGGGAAGTAGGAAGGTGGAGGGTCAATCATCACCTCCAAAGCACAGAAAAGGACTGGATTCCCAAGTAATGACAAGGGGTATGAAGCTCATTGTGGACGGTAATCCTGTATCACATTGCAGAGTTGTCTCTGTGTGGTTACTTGTGTTGGGGATTACGAACCATTAACTTTTTGCTGTTTTATCTATAGAAAAGAGCCTCAAAATTGATATATATTCCTGATAGAAAATGTAAAAGGGAAGATAGTCTGAAAAAAATATTTGCTTAAGCAGTGAAGTGTCATTTTAATGTCTGTCATAATTTATCAAGTATGTTGTTTTTTTATATTCTCTCTCTGTGATTTACACAACATAGGAATGTCTAACTGGGAAAGATAGCAGATTTTGCCTTGAACTAAGCACCTGCCCTTTACTGGTCGCATGTTTGCGTATGGGAATCTGCTTGCCTTTTCCTACAGGCTTGGACTAGTTCTCAGGAGCAAAAATTGACTACATACTTGTAGGTGTTATTGTGTGTTCAGCATCTACAGAGGGTGTTGTCCTGCAACCAGAGGGTTTCAGGCACTGTTAGTTTAGGTAGCAACACCTCTGAGACTGGATATTGAACCACATCATAGGATCATTGATCTCATTATGCAAACAAATAAGAACCACATCATGCAACTTACAGTCACATCTGAAAACATTTGCTCATGCAAGTTGACCACTGAAGCCAAGAGGCCTCCTTAAATGAATTAATATTCAGTAAGCAAAGCAAATTGATGCTGTTAGGCCAGAATTATTTAGAAAGAAAAATCAAACCAGAATGTGCTAGAATTGTCCCTGTGAGACAGGTTTGCTTTTCCATGATGTCCAGTATCACATTAAGAGTCACACCATAAAACTTGTTTTGAGAGAATTTCTTCTACTTCAAACTTCAGTTGTTTCTGAGACATTAGTTGTTTTTCTTATTTCTTTCCTTTTTTATGTTTTTTTTTTCTCTTATGCCACTTCTTGTAAAAAGTAAAGTAATAAAAACAGAATTTAAAAATGAAAAAATATGTAGCTTAGGTAAAAAAAAAAAAAGGCTTTTGGCACCAGAAAATCCGAATTCTCAAACCTTTTAATGATGTCTGTATAACTTCAAAATAATATAATCTCCAAATTTGAAGAAGAACAGGAAATTTTCTAAAAAAAAAATTGTTGCAAACAAATCAGTGGGTGTGGGTTGGGGGTGCTAACAGGAAGTTCTTAATGAAAAATTGTGACCGTATCTTTTCTGGGGGTAGTTTAAGGAGAGAGCAGGATAGAGTAGGGAGGGGGAAAAAGCTCTCCTACATCTCTCATCAATGGGCTAGCTAATTAAAGAGTGTCAGTTACAAGCTGTGTAAATTGTCCATTCCAGTTCCTTTTGTCC